TTGGAGGTAATGTTTGCATCAAACTGTAAATATTTGGTTAAGAATACGAAGATTAAAGGATAAATATACTAAACACTGATTGACTTTGCAAGAAACGTATTTCGATCTACTGACTCTTTAGAACTGTACTGACAAAATGTTGACTCTGAACAGATTTTCCTGTAAGTTTACGTATTATGTATTTACGTGTGTTTTCTTTCGAGTTTAAAAGTTGACTATTTGATAATTCATCTTCGTTAAGCTGATGCATAAGAGTAAACGTAAAATTTCAGTTCCAGTGTAAAATTGATACACATACCGATTCTAGAATAGTTTTTCAGTCTACTTAAAAATGGAATCAACATAATAACCTGAACGCCATATAAGATACCGTAACCGAAGCAAAATCTTTGACTCAGAATAAAAGTTGGTAATTATGCAGGTTCTCTGTATCGATTTTAAAAATCAATGCCATAATTATTCAAGTGTCTAAAAAATCGTGTCTTTTGCACGATAACAAGATTTCATAAAACAAGCCAATAGTTTTCTTCACCACCGAACTTTCTTCGATCCTCGAAGCTCCAACAGATTTTTAGCTCACAGAAATCTCAATCGCCACAATATCAAAATTCTTATGTCACATTTTAATTGAAAATTAATTGTCGAAAATTGAAAATCGACACTAATTCTTGCAATTAGAAGTCTTCTATCTCATCGATTACAATGCAATCCTCTAACGTTATAGCGTTTGCCTCTCCAGCCTTCGAACTTTTCTTTGTCCGCAACAGCAACTAAATTTGAAACTACCCAAAGTGCAACAAACTTTAACGTATTAACGCTGCCGAACAATGGATAAAGGTATTCTTCTGTTTCACGGTAACGATACAAAGCGTTAACAGTGTTTTTAGCGCACGAACAGCGAAATAATTTCAGCTTGATTGCTGCGAGCATGAAACTACTTTTCTGCATGAAAGCGTGGCGCGCGCGTGTTTGCACGTACTTGGATCGCGGTAACGATCGATCGTATTTCGCATTCCTCGAACTTTGTCTCTCATGCCAGCAAACGTCCGTGTTATTCTCCGTTAGCAGCTTCTTTACAGCGCAACGGCAGCTCGCCGGGTTCATCCTCTGCCAGCCAAGTTGCCCGATTGAGTCAATCGTATTCTCGAAGGCCTGCAGGGACCTGAGGAACCTGGACTTCACTCTGTTGAGGTCAGCACAACAGATTGCCTCGAGGTCGTAAATTTTCCTCTTATAGGAGCTAGTCGCCGATGCTGAAAGACGCTGGTCGAACGAGTTCAGTTCATCTTGCAATTCGTCCACGGTCTTCTGATACATCCAACTCCCAAGGCACGTGAGATAGTTGGTCCTCGAGGTAGACGTGTCCTGATCCGCGTTTCGATATGGATTACAGACTGCACGCTGGCTAACGAGTCTACCAACTTACTTACTCCGTTAGAGCACGCCGCTCTTTGCTGTAATTTCGCAGAACTTTCCAAAATCCGTGCACCCTTCCACGATCGTGAGCCACAGCTCGTGTGATCTGCAGGCCGAATAATTGTTTTACACATTTTACTATCGGGCCGATCGTTTGTCGCATCACAGAACGATTTTCAGCAACGACGAATCTACCTCGAATACGATTAGGTTTTCATATCGACCGAGTTCTACGATACTTACGCTTCTTCTGGTATTTGGCGAATGAATAAACATCAGAAATCGATAGTCAGAAATAAATAAGTATAATTAGAAATACAAGTGAAATCGTAGACGTCGAGTTGAATTTTTGTGTCTTCGAACCAGTTTTATGTAACATTGATAAAACAAAGCCAAGTATAGAGTTACTGGAATCGGTATAATTGCATCGAAATAATTATCGTTATGCAATCCCGAAGTTGTTCTATCTCATTATTGATATCGCTTGCACATTGAAATAAGCAAATGAAAATAAAATTATAATGAAAAATCTTACACGCCGACGACAATGTTCTCATATCTTATTCAAGCTCGGGATATTGTTTAACATTGCAGGAGTATTATACTATCGGATCGGAAACGACCGAAAGAACGCAGGAGAATGTTACAAGTTTTATCAAAAGCGATCGCAAATGCTTTTGTGTGTTTCATAATCCCTAGAAAAAATCCACATTGCACAGAATTATTTATAAACTTAACTATTTGAAATATGTAATATAATAATGAGGAAAATACACGGTTACTTTGATAGATAAAGAAAATACGGAAGAAAACATAAAATAGTATAAATTTGTGTCTTAACCTGTCCATTGTATAGATAATAGAGACGCGACGAGGAAGGGAAATAAATGGAAATAAATAATTATTAATCCGGAAGCATTATACTAAAGAGAAGAGAAAATAAATATTTTTCAACAAACGTGCAATATTCTATTTTTCATCGTTTCGTATAAGTTCTATTTGCGGAGAGGAGAAAACCTGATAACCTGTCAAACTTTCGTAGTTACGTTGCAGCTCGATGAACTTTTGCAATATCGTCATTTCTATTTCTTGATGAAGATTTAGTCTCTCGTCTCGAAGGGCGTGCCGCAATTCTCGCAGGACCCTGCGAAGATTCTCCACTCGCGAGATGATGGATGTGTCGTGTTCTAGGTTATCCACCATTACGTGATCGTCGACACTGGTCATTTTTCTCTTTATCGGAAACGAACGAACTAACCAACTGGAAAAATATATACGCGTGTCAGGAAGAAAATAACGGCTGGGACGAAGTGTTCCGTGTCACTGGCTTTTTTCACGATTTTGTCATCTTTAAGTGGTGTTTCGGCGCGACGCACTTTCAACCTCGCATCCCTCTTCTTGACGTTTCTCGAGAGATTGACGTCTCTCCAATAGAAAAAAGATTACCAGTCATAGGATATCAGGTTCGCGTCTAGTTGAACGTGCGACAAATATTTCCCACGAGTTTGCATTTTAATCAGTAGCGTTTAATTCGAGCGTCGAACATTCGCGCAGCGTGCTAATTAAATTTTTATCGAGCACGCGTTCTCATCAAAGATTCAAACAGGCTCGATGTTGCGCGCAAAGAAATCTAGGACACGTCCCACTTCTCACGTAATTTTATTATTCCAACGTTTCATGATTATTCAACATTCTTCGTCGAATTAGTTTTCGTTAAATATCGCGAACAAAGGAATCGGATATTTCTACAAACGTATTTCAAAAAACGTTAACTATCTTCCTATGTTTTAAAACGATATTAATCAAATTAATTAAAATCTGACAGTATTATGGTGCGGTCTATCGCGATCATGTCCGTTTTATTCTGCCGATTGAAAAACCGTTGAACCCCTTCATTACGTTTCTGACACGTTCGCGAAGTAATCGATAAACGCTCTGAGCAGATGTATTATCTACGAAGAATTATAGTGGGGCATACCGTATTTATGGGTATTATACTCAACGAATTGCGAAACGTAACGCACGTGACAATGCAGCGATCGAAAGGAATGCGATGCAAAATGTGCATTAAAATTTTCGTTATGATTTTGTATACCTTTAATTAGTAACGTTACCATTGGTGAAAATATCTTCATATAGTATTTATCGTACGTTGTATGTAGACAAAAGCTTCAAATAAACTTTTTTCAAAAAATTCCTTAATTACTTAATTTCATGTCATTTTGATAGGAAATACGTATGCACAAATATCCAAGTACGAAATATAGTTGTTTCTTTAATTACAGAAATTAATTAAAGTTTAATTTATTTGAAATGCCTTATATTACTAATTGTCGTACGAATTGTAATAGACAGGTTAACATTAAATTTCACAAATATAAAGGCTGAATTTAAATCTATTGAAATTTAGTTTTCTTCTTAAAGTAAGAACAAATTTTCTATTATATTGTATAGAAGAATGAAACACGTGATTTATATCGCTAACATTCAGCAAATATTTCAATTAATTGCAACGTATGTTACTTTCGTAACGATATCTTGAATGAAAATTGGTGCGCGTAAATGCGATATTCGCAACAACAACTCATTTCAGACGCAACCGAAGTAACTTGAGATCTGTTGATGGAAAACAAATACACTGCGGCGTTGCAATTATAATTAACAAGCTGCATGCGAAACTCTGAGAAAGTAAAAATCCATTCACGATTTCTCAACCACTTTGCTGAATTATTAGCAATTAAAATTCTCGTTGAACTCATTTCAATTCCGGCCGTGTGGCACACACTCAATTTTCACAGAAACTTTTCACGAGCTCGACAACAAGGAAGTTGAAAGCGTCGATCGGCGCGATGGCTAATTATGCCATCGAAAATTCACGACGCGTTCGAAGTTGCCGATAATCAGCATTTTGTCGACCGCCGTTTAACAGGTGGGAAATTTTTATCAATGCATACAATTAGTGCTGAACGCGATCGTTATTGGCCTACAGTTTCTCAAGTTTAGAAAACCTCCTTAATTTCAGTATTTATTCATTTACTTGCCTTTTATAGGTTTTGGAAAGCTTCCATGGAAGAAAAGAGCAAACTATAATTTGTAATAAGTAATAATAATAATAATAAGTAATAATGTAATAATTTGAAAATAATTACATTGTATGAAACAGTTAGAAAGGAAGTTATAAAGGAAGACAAAAATCTACTAAAAAATCTACTGAAAAAAGGAGGGAACAATATTCATTAAACAACCTGTTCGTAACAAATTAACTACATTTTGTCTGAAATATTTTGCATGGTTATATTACTATAGTTAGTACATTTCGCTGAAAATAAAGCAATTGACAGATTTATGTAGCTGGCCCTTTTTCCTGATCACATTCCTGGATCGAACTTGCTGAACCTTTCTGTTCTAATCAAATTTCTCGCACAGCGTCTCGCTAATACAATTTTCTTATTTTTCCGATATTTATCTGTCTGACCCTTTTTCTCGACCACATTCCTGAACGAACTTCGCCGAAACAGTTTTATACGGAATCTGATTAATGCAATCTTCTCATTTTTGTCAATATTTATGCGTCTGGCCCTTTTTCCCAACCACATTCTAGTTCGAACTTCACCGAAACCGTTTCTCCCAGCCAAGTTCCTCGTACGGCATCCGATTAATGCAATTTTGTTATTTTTCCTTTTTTCTGATCGCATTTCTGATCGATTCTCATCGGACCCCTTTTTGCTAGACAAATTCCTCAGTATCAATCCGACAGTGTCTAGATAATTCGATCTTCCTGTTTTCCCGATATTTAAGGGCTTGTTCTCCTCTCCTGACTTATTCTCAGAAGTCCCCCCTTTTCAAACGTATTCCGACTCCCACTTTGCCAGAACCATCGCATAAAACGGTGCTTTCGTGAGACCAAAAAGTCTTGTTCCAAAACCCAGCGACTTTTTCCGTTGGTTCTAGTCGTGGTCCTCTCCTTTTATTATTTATCTTCTCTTACAATTCTACTTTACTATCTGTCCTTCTAATAGAATTGTTTATTTCATTTTGTAGTTTTTGTTTCATTTCCCAACGTTTGCCACAATTCCAGCGATGCTGCGAGCATTTCAACACCGACATACGCTCCAGTTCCTACGTCAGCAACTTTTTCCAAGTTTTTCCTACCTCTACGTATGACTAAACATTTTTGCTTCGTTACAGATAGATTTAAACGACAAGCAAGATCGATAAGTTTGCCGAGTCTGACAAGCACGATTCACTCAGTCAGTCGATACTATCTGCCACAAAAAATATACAAAAAGGAATCAGGAAACAGTAACTGTTCCTTTTTGGCTGTGCGCAAAATCGTGTGTAACGCCTACACTTTAAAACAACCTTTCAAACACTGTAACTCCGGAACAATTTTCAATAAACCACTTTCGATCCAAGCAAATTCGTCTCGACCGATTCAAAGACAGTGTAAACGAGATGATGATGCATCGTTGAAATCTTGCGCGTAACCTGTTTAATTATACGATCGAAGGAAAAAATTGACGCGTAGTATCGGTCGCGCTGTGAAGTTAATGGGCCGGGTTGTTCGACTGCGTCGAAATCGTCGCCACCGTATTAACGAACCGGTTTCTCTTGGCAGCGGAAGGCGTTTAATCGAGCGGGAGGAGCCCTCGAACGGCCCACGGAGAAATGAAAAGGACAACGGCGAAAGTGGAGCGTAAAGCGGAGGCTCGCGAGTGATTTTCATCTCGCTAATGCATGCAAGAACTTGCAGAAGTGTAATGAACGCTATTACGCGAAGTGGATCTCGCCTTCCGCTAGGAAACAACGACGACGATGACGATGACGATGTCGACGATGGCAGCGGAACTTGCGATTATATTGGCACGTCCCTTCGTTAAAACGATCCGTTTCCATGTTCAGGACGTTTCCTTTCGTTCTTTCATTCTCGTCTTTCCTTTTTACTTCGTTTTTGTCCTTTCCCTGTTCCTTCGGCATGGGGAAGGCTGGAAACCATAGCGGTTTAAGTCGATTCACTGCTATTTCCCATAAGAGAGTGGTGCGCGTTTATTGGTACAAAAGGTTCATTAATTTTTCAAAACGAGGAATCGTATTGAGGCAGAGAATAAAGTTTTTTATTTTCTTTTTTATTTGGTAGAATTTTTACAATCAATTCTCATTGAGAATGATAAGTAAATTATTTTGGCGTGGTACTGTAACTTGGATTATGAGTGTTTATAGTATGTTTGATTCTAGTTGTGTCGTGTCAAGTCGTGTCAAGTCGTGTCAAGTAATTGGATAACTAATGGGTTTTGGTGGTTGTTAACTCTTATAGTATATCTGTTACTGAATTTGGATATTTCTTCTTTAACTGTGGGTATCTTGCAAAGATAGAAGAATACCTCACTGAATCCAAATTCTTGGAATCTTGACTTAAACTGCTATACTATACCACTACCTACGCTGTTGAAGACTACAGAGAAGATCACGGCAAATCACATTCTTCATGGTTTGCAGGTGACCAATGTTAAAGTATGATATGTCGTCAATTAATTTCGTGTTACCGAAATTGTCTTTTTATTTAATTTTGATCTTAAGCTTTCTACTCTCCGTACCATTTTATTCCATTTACAAAAGTCTTCTACGACTATACCTTCGAATTGCAATAAACCTACGACTATACATCTTTTTTTCACGCTTAGTAGCTCTGTATCAAGACACTCTGTTTCAATCTTGAAGTGATAAAAGGAAATAAAAGGATTGATCAATAACGTGCTCCTTTTCTGCGACTTTGATATGTAAACACCGATTGCGAGAGCTCTTAATTCTGAATAAAGCTGAATTCACAGCTCGCGTGCGAATTATATACGTATGAATATTTATAATTAAACAGATTTTAAGTTTAGATTAGGGCAGCAAAATTACTGGTTTAAGTTTCGTTCGTAGCCAGGTGGAATTTAAGAGATTAAAACATGACTCCTTTCATGAGAATCGAGCATTTACATGCTGAAATGTTCTCTGCTTTCTATGTCGAATTCAGACCGACTTTTATACAAACATAATTTTAATTTTTTTTTTTTAGCTATGTACGTATGTAAATGTCGCGGTACACTCACATGCTTTATCTTTCGAAATTAAAGGTATGTTTCATTCTTGGTAATTTATGCACAAAAACAACTTGAAATGCTTCAATTTGTATTTTTTTTTTTTTTTTTTTTTTGTTCCAATTTCTTTCATTGTCTTGTTTATATCGGAGGTAACGTTCACCACACGGTTATGTATTTAAAGTGATATATATTGATCGTTTTATATACAAAATTTTTTCTTCAGCTGCTGATAAAATTATTTTATCCTTGTACGAATATGACGTTAATTGAGAAGAAGATTATTTTCCCTACAAATCCTATAATCTATCTTTTTATCATGTGGTTTATTATTTAGAAAAACAGTTTACTGCTGAACCTTTTTACACCATCATTTTCCAACTAGTAATATCAGTGAATTAACGAGTTACAAGCTGTATACTTTTCCCTCTCATAATTTTACAATATTACTAAAAGAAATCTGGTCGAATAACTTGTAATTTTTTAAATTCATTTGCAAGATTCCACTCGTTTCATTAGCCAACTTGTTACTATCACGCACAGCTTATACTTTGTAAAGTCGCACTAACAATAATTGCAATAAATTAATCCTGTAAGAAGGCCCTGAAGTGAAATATTAGCACTCTATCGTTTCTTGCTAATTTCAAAATGTCTGAGGATTACCTGATTAATCTTTGTACAAATATAACAAGCGCTATCAATGGGAAACATCAAGCTGATAATTCACAGGAAATATTAATGGAATCAGAATAGGGAAACGTGCGTGGAGAAGCGTTCGTTCCGATATTCAAAATCCAATTGACAGCGCGATGTAGATAATGCAAATTGTTCTCGTTGAGATGTTTGCAGCTAGTCAAAGCACGATGTTTGACTCGCCCCGTGTTGCTACTATCTATTAATTCGGAAACTGTAATTACGTTTGGTTATTTAGGGTGGCCTACGTAAGCCATTTCAGCTGGCCAGTGTCGCCTTGTATCGGCAACGTATCATTATTCTCGCGACAAATTGCTACGTCGTTAAGTGATACCTCTAATCTCCACCTGAATCATTAGCGAATCATTGTTATCTACATCTGTAAAGACGCGCTGTTTCAAATGTTTTCCACTAAATACTCAAGTAGAGCTTCGACGTATGCTATGATCTTTCGGTCATTTTCGACCCAATTTCGTCTTTCCAATTCTTTGAGCGAAATATGAAAAGATTCTTATTGGAATTCACGATCGCAATTATACGAGTGTCGGTAATGAACGTGCTTCGTCTGTCCCCAAAACGAAACGAGCTACACCTCTGCGTGAACACTCGTTTTACAGTTACATTCGTCCTTTATAAATAAGTTCATTTTTAGTTTATCAATAAGTTTATTTAACGCAATGACGAACAGTATCGTTTAGAGCGAGGTTGAGTATGGGTGAGATGTGAACGAGATTCAGGCAACGTACAATGAGAGGAAGTTTTTAACAGGAGGAAATCTTACACATTTACGGAAATTCATCGTCATTTTACTAGCAACGTATGTCGTGATGTGAAAACCACGAAGCATTTGCGAAGACGCGTACATCAGGTTCGCAACTCAACCGAGACGACACTGTCGCAGCGCAACGCTCGATCGCACGCATGGCGCTCGATGTCCTTTGCGAGACTGAAATTCCCAGATTCAATGATTTCCATTTCTTCGCAGAATTGAAAAGGACACTCGAGGATATTCGTTTCCAGTTGGACGACGAGTCAAGATAGCAGTGACTTGCTTTGTCGAGAGTAGGTTGACGGGATCCTGCATTGACGGAATGAGAAATGTTAGGGTCGACTGATAGAAGAACGAGTCAATGAATTTGTAATAGAAAAATATATTGAAATAAATAAAGGTATAAGTTTATGTTGATCCAGATCCTTACTCTCTTAATGTTATAAGACAATGGAATCGGTAGGGAGCACGTTCATATATTTATAGCAAAAGGACATTATCAAAAAAAGTTAACCTTATAGCTTTAGCTAAGGGCTACAAGGAACATAAATAGAAATCTGTTGATTAGTTCCTTTGTTCCTAGACCTTGCAACCCAAAACATAATGTATATTCAAGGGTACAATAATATGCACCTCTCCTTGTTTAGAATATTTTTTTACACATAAATAAAGATGTAGAATTTTTCTTGAAACAGTTACTTCAACAAGAAAACTTGCCACGCTTTGGCAAAGGTGCATCGAAGTCAACGGCGATTATGTTGAGAGATGAATACGGTTTTCGTAGCTAGCGAATCTGACTATCATTTTCCTTTCGTCCCGTTTCGATGATTGTTTTGGTTCTCAAGATACAGGCGAAAGTTCGTTGCTTAGCAGTAAATTAATTATTTATTAAAATATAATTCAACTGCTTAGGACCTCGCCCATTAAACATCTTTGGTTGATGCAGCTTGACAGAAGTTGGAGAAACTTGGAGGCAGCGGTCGACGAAGAAGAACAATAAAATTGATTGCAGAGGTTCGATTAGATAGTTTGTACATTGGATTGTAACGTAGAAAAATTTGGTCAAATAAAGAAAAATATTGAGAAATTTAACCGAATCTACGTCTGTTACAACCTGATACAATCACTCGGTACCGCTCGATACAATGCGTTTGTTTGATCTAATTGATATTACTGTTATCAGTCGGTTAGTTAGCTTTTTTGAAGATGTGCGCGGTCATGAAAGTCGGTACAATCGCGCACATGAGAATCGTGCTGATTAAAGCTGCACGGAGGACCCGATTAGTAGCTGACTCGCAGTCAGCAGGTACACGGGTGACTTGTGTTCAATACAGCGGATAATCCCCGAACAATTTTCTTAAAACATTAGAAATTCTTCTCGATTGACAAGATCAGACTATGATTCAAATATGAAACGATGACCAGGATCATGATCATCATAGCAGGATTGAAACACGACTTAGCTATTGGAATACAATTTTCGTCTCCCTTTAATGCTCGAATAACGTGCCACAACTAATTCTAGTATATAGACGAATAGTAGATAGACGTGCAATAGACCAAACAGAATCATCAATGAGGATATGCAGTGGGAGCATATCAATAAGGAAATATCTTGCATCAAATTCAACTGCATTTAGATTATAATTATTAGTTAAATAGAAATGTGGAAATTGTTCTACGTTTATTGTTGAGGTTCACTGATAGAGGAACGAGTGGATGAATTTGTAATAGAAAAATATATATTGAAGTAAGTATGGGTATATGTACAGGTATAGTGTATGCGGATCCAGATCCTCACTCTCTCAGTGTTACACTACAATAGAATATGATAGGGAGCACGTTCATACATTTAAAGCAAAGGACTCTAGCTGAAGGTTACAAGAAACAGCAACAGAAATCTACTTATAGCTTTTTTTTGTAGACTTTGTAACCCAAAACAACATTCATATTGAAAGGCACAATGATATGGACTCCTTGTTTTTAATTTTTTTGCTTCACTAAATTCTATTTTCTACGTAACAGCGGTGTCCGGATCACGGGTATACAAGAGAAAAGATGTAGAGCTTTTCTTGAATTACTTTAACATTTATGATGCTGCAAAGCAGATTCGATTATTTTTAGGTTGTATATTATAGGAAAGAAAAAATATCAAATTCTACGCAATACGATTAATTGAATTTACAAACATTTTCCTACTTGTTATTATAAATTATTAAACTATAGGTTTAAATGCATATAAAATATTGATTTTCATGAGAATTTCTATGGAAACACAGGTATCAACAGATGATTACTTTTCTGTTTCATTCGTATTAAACTACGCTTAATATTTTGATATCCAATTTAAACAGTGAAAATGATTTAAAATGGCTGAAAATAATTAAATACGAGTGCAACAAATAGTAAAATATGGTAAATATAAGAGTAAAAGTGGGTT